AAGGTATAAAGAAGCCTGGTTCGTTGCCTGGCCGATGGAGTGAGGAAAATCTGCAGTTGGGGTAAGCTAGAAGAGAGCAGCGTTTTAGAAGATCTTTGCACGTCCCGGTATCTGGAACATAGTTCAGTGCGCAGAGGACAATTCACTATACACAGAGGTTAATAAAAAGTCTGTTTACATTTCTTTGCTGTTCAATGAGGCTCACTGCAGCTAAGGTCATAAAAAGTAACTTATTCGGAGCAAGTGATACCATGTTCTATGCATCAAAGCCCCGCGTGCTGTTCACATCGAAACCACTTCACAAGCACGGATGATGTCACCTCGGCTGGTGATGAAACGTTTGCAAACAAATTGCCAAGCTTGGCGGACAGGCGAAATGGAACCAATTGTGTTTGCGATTGAAGAAAAAAGTTCGCGACTGTGAGGTTTCATTCTGTGTACACTCATTTACGTGTTCTTGTGATACAACGTACACTTTGTTATCACACCCCGGTGTGTGATGAACAGCAGAGAGGGCGGACCCCATAGTCAGGAAGACCTGTTCAGTGATGGTAATCGGTAACCTAGGCCCGGGGACTTGGATCGATGAACCACATAAGGCCCAACTAGGTCACTCTGTGAAGATGATCGAGGCTTTCGTCCTTTCGCATAAACTTTGTGAGTGCTTATCATGGCAAGTTCACTGTTGGATGATAGGCACAGCACAAGCTGTGGGAATTCGTTTCGACAACACTTCCCCACTGTGGACCCAACAACAATTTGTGCATGTGCTTAAGCCTCCCTGGCCCACCTCACCCGCCACACACACACTGTATCACGGATTATCTCGGCAATCGGATGAGTGAACAAACAAACACATGTAGATAGTTGTGAAATCGACTTCCGGTTTCATGACTAAAACAATCCTGGTAATATGTAATATGATTTTTATTTTTCCAAGGTAATTTTATTTCGAATTATTGATATATGTGTATAGTAGTGTATTGCCATGAAGACGAATCACTGTTGTTATCAGTGTTGTAATTATTATCGAAAATCATGCTCTTAAGTGACTCATGATGATTATTCTAGAGATGCTAACTAGATGATTATTAAATGGAGCCAGGGATCAAAAGCCGGTCTGACTGAGCAAAAGCACCCGTTAAATCACCGCCAATACAATATTTGTGCACGGAATAATACACGAGAGCAAATGTATTTAAACAAAATAATCTTCTTCAACGCCACCGGGTAAAAAACCAGGTTGAACTACTGATCTATCGCATTGTATCCAAAAACTTCTATGCTATCAGTCATTTTATTTCATATACTTAACTCAAAACGAGCGCCGGAACCACCGGGAATAAAACATCTCTAAGTCGGTAATTTATGTCTATCTAATAATTTTTCCCGTTTATTAACCAATTCCTCACTGAACTCAACATAAAACATTGTTTAAAATATTACATTCGGATTTGGATACAGATCTGGAAAGCAGTACATTTTGTTGTTGCTATGACAAGAATGTTCAGTGAATATATCACTTAAATAAAGAAAAACTCTAACGGTTGATTTCGACTAAATTCTCCCTTCGTCTTTAATTTTAAACTTAGTATTAATTTAATTAGTAAATTTATCTGTAACCGGCAAAGGTATTTTCATTTTAACTCCTCACGGTCTAGCGACGGTTTGACATATTTGAGTTTGACTGGGATTATCAAATAACCATTTGGATTGATAAGGCAACGCGTTGCAAGTATCCCTTATTGGTGATTTTATTGCCCACCGGCCTTGGGACATCCCAGCGTGTGTACTTGTGATCAGATAAAAACATTCTTGTTCTTGGGAGGTGTCTTTGTGCTACGCTGTTAACAAACCGATACCGATGGTAAAACCATTAACAAAAACTATACCTTTTGTAATTTTTTAAGTTCTCTGAACATTATTTCAATCTGTCTCGTTGACCTTATCGTCACTGACAGTCTCATGGACTGTTAAAGCCTCCCAGCGATGTCTGATTGGTGGAGTCTTGGGTAATCGCTATTTTAAGAACGGTCACAATGGTGCTCTCATCGTGAAAATGTATCCAGAAATTGGACTGTCTCCAAAGATTATGCGCACCTTCTGGTATTCAGCTGGCTTTATTTGTCAGTGAGCTGGTTCGAAGCCAGTTCCCATTAGCCACTTATAAATGTCATACCTTAGCCTTAATTCAACCGACTTACTTTGTGCAATGGAAGTGTTTTAGTAGAATCCATTGCACTTTTGAAAAACGTTTACATTTTCTAACTCAAGATTTCTTATGATTTCCGTAACTACCATAAAATCTATGACATGTTTCACCTGCAGTTGGTTTGATTCCGGATATTTAACCAAAATCGTCATTTTGTTCGTCCAGTACTTGAATGTGTGTCACAGAGATCTGAAAGTATCGAACAAACTGCATGTGAATGTGGTCAACACTGATGGGTATCTCGATCGAGCATGATCGATTGTTGTTCTGTATTCTGTTCTATTTTATCATCATGCGACGTAGGTGAACAATGGCTCAAGTGATGATCGCACGTGATTTATTGGTATCAGTAGAGCATAACCGGTACGACTTTTCAGGAAGAGAGAGACTAGCATACACAGAAACGCGTAAAGGTACTAGCAAGATAAACAGCCAATATGTATGTCATGGGAAATGTGGTGTGTGACCAAGGCACGACTCAACCCCACGCCCGCGCTTCAACAGGGTCACAGAAATCTGCGCTCTTTCATCTACAGACATCGCTGGGAGGCTTAAACAGTACATGGAAGTGTCAGCGCCGATGAGTTCAACGGAATACCCTGAAATGATGCACAGACATATTGAGATGGTACTTGGAACGATGCTCCGACAAGCTGAAATGATACTGAGACAACTTGAAGTGATAACCAGATACCTTGAAATGATACTCGGGCAAGTTCAGACCCACAATAAATTGTTTGACATGCTAGCAATTTCGTTATTCGATGGATTTTTTGCATAAATAGCAATTCAAATAAGCATTTTAGCGCTGTTTAGGATTTTTATTCTGTTTAAACATTGCTAGGTTCCACCGGCAGTGTAACTTAATTGACCCACATAAGATGGAACTTAAAAATATTACCACCTGACAACTGATCACAGCAGCTTCCGTAACCGATACACATTCCGGCACAGACCATCTTTGCAAGCTTGCTTACAGGTAACTCTCCTTGCACATCATGTGGCACCAATCTACCGGGATGTGACTCGTTCGCGAATAGTCCGAGCCTCTTACTGCACAACTGTTTGAACTCGTTTGGGACTCAGTAACGAAATAGACAGATGGACTAAATTAGGGATCAGGCGATAAAATTCATTCTCACTAAATCCACAATTATGTGACACAGATCGACTGTCCCATAGAGATCAGCCGTGCGTTTTGCTAGAACACCCAAACGTTCCCAAGTACATAAGTTCTTTTTTATGTCATTTATTGCAGATACATCGTCCCAAATCTTTCTGTTGCTGATGATGGTTCAACTCTGTATGTCAGGTGATGTATTTCTGACAGAAATCAGATTCTGTGAATATACTTTATGCGCACTGAAACACTCACCGGTTTTCCATCAATTGTGTACACTTTTTGTACAGTCATACCGAAAAGCTCACTCAGCTCGTGTAACACTTGGCTCATATTGCGCACATGACGTCTGCGAAGGAGTACAGTGCGACGCAACTGTTGTGATCCATCCAGTCTGACGCAGATCTTTCTAGATTCGTTCAAAAGTGTCGTGTGCGAATTCAGGCTTTCCGGGTATCCGGGTGAAACTGGATCACTTCGTATTCCATTTGTCTGTTCGATTGGGGGTAGGGTGAGTTTGTTTTTCTGTGTACGCATGGAATCCGGAATTTTGTTGTTCTTGGACGTTTCTACGAACGTAGAATCTTTGCCGTTCAAATTTGTCTCAGTTTTAAGTCTGACACGAGTGGGTGAGCCATTTTTTCTCGAGGTTGTGCGATTATACTCTTGTGTGCCCCAACGCCACGGTGGGAGCAAACGGTCCATTTGAACACCTCGTGGATTGACACTGCGTTCGGAACAAATATAGTGTCCGTTGTTCTGTAAATCGGCCAACGAGCGAACTTTATCTCTGCCTTGCGGGGTAAAGATGGCTCGTGCGCCAGATGGCAAATTAGGCATCTTTTCTGTCAATTCACCCAACAAAGCTTCCAAGCTTCGATAACGATTAGGATGAATTGCCAACCGGATGGTTTGTCCATTCAAATCACCATCTTGGTAAAAGTATGCTGTTTTGACGCTTGGTCGGGAAGGAACTCGGGTAGCAGTAGTTGGATTTTTTTTACTGATTGAGTTCAATTGATAATTTGCTTGTGATGGTGGTTCACCCTTTTCTGAATCGTCAGCGTTATGCACGGTATTCGAGTCCTGCGAAAAGTTAACATAGGTCCTCGGTTGATAGTACCAGTCACGTTCGGGATGAGTCACCGGTCTGGGGTCGTCCGACATCAGTTTCTGCTTGATTGAAATAACGGGCTTGTGTCACGCTTTGTCGGTTCGCAGGTGATGCACTCACTGTTACGGTAAGCCTGAATTACATGGACTAACTGGTCAGTTCGATCAATGTACATAATCGGTGAGTCAAATACAAATATCACATGTTTTTTCAGTTTACCACAAAAAGAAAACAAATTTCCAGAGAGCGTCGAGGTCACTACACGAAGTGAAGCAAGACACATGCATGCGGACTAAGTAAAAGGTGATTACATCAATGCTCGTTTTCATTCTCGTCCTTTGTTCACTACTGCTCACGCACTGTGACAAGCAAGCCAACGGGAAGCGTGTTGAACTGAGCTGATTGGTCAATCAGCACGGTTAGAACTGGTTGGTTTGTTTCTGAATCGGTTACTAGGCAACGTGGGGAGATAAAAATGTGAAGCCTCATCAGAACGAAAGTGATGGAACATGGGAGGAAGATTTATTTGTTCGATGACTGCTACGAAGCGGACTGTTTGAAGAACGAGAAGAAACAGATGCATTCGGGTGAGTATCAAATGAAGTTGGGAAGTTAAAACAAAACTCGGATATTGATGCTGACGGTGATAACCTCAATTCCGAAAGGGAATCGTTATGGTTGGACTATGATAAGGATCTCGTTTCTGATAGAGAGGAAAAGAAGGCGTATTCTGCTCGTTTGGGAAGGGAAAAAATGCGAGAATAGTGAAGTTAAAAGTGCACCAATATTAAAATTTGTATTTACTCTACTTTCACTCGGAATGAACTCATTCAGCGATGAAACGGAATTAAAAGTATGGTGATTGGGTGGCACCACTCGGGATGTGTGCGAACGTGTCGCACCAGATTGGTCGAAATTGATGTCTAATGAAGTGATGGAGGTTTTAATTTTGTCATAGATCGAAATTCAGCTTATTCGAAGTAAATTCAACCTCTTTAAGAAAATTCAGTGGTTGAAGACCATCGACACTCCACGGGGTAGTGAACTAGGAATCACATAGAAAGAAAGCACACTTGCTCCCAATTTGAACACCAATCAATAAACAATCGACTGTGAGTGGCACGTTGCAGATAAGTTTGAAAGACATTTAGGGACTAATCTGGCAAGCCTCATACAGAGTGTTTTTCAACATTAACTTTTGATTACTCTTCTACTCCTATACTGCTAGATAGCACTCAATTTCCCTTTATGAAATTATGTTTGTCAAATTCAGTGAAATGGTTCAGCTTTATCGTCAAAGTTTACTAAGTTGCACTTCCTGGATTTTAAAGGCAGGAACTCCTGACAACCGTACCTGTTTACAAAACCGGAATTTGTCCGGTCAAACTCAGACTATTAAACGAGGATGGCTAATGCGGGATTGTGTCAGTTGCTTTATTCATTTTATGTTTAGATGATATCGCAAATAAATATATTGTCCTCATAGTTAATGGTTAATAGTCTGTAATTTTTCCAATTCACGGCTGACAGCTAAATTCATATACATGTAGTTTTGCTGTTACATTTGAAACCCCGAAACTACGCCAGCACGCTTTTTCTGCAGAAATTATATTTCGGCGTTCAAAATACTAGTGTGCAAATGGCCTCCGTCTATTGTGGTACCTGCTACGCTATATCTATTTTTCACAAGGTTAGTAGCAGTTTTTCGGGAAGATTATCGTCACTTATGTTGACAGTTTTTAGACATAACCTGGGGTCTTTCCGATCATGATGACGGTGATGATGAATATAATGATGATAGGCGAATCCGTCGTAACTATAAGTAAATCGAACCATTCGCATTCTACGTGATTGCTGCTTCAGCCCTTCACTCGTCACCGATTGGACCAGGTATATCAAGACTACGTACAGCTGGATTGACCTGATTTCTCCATAGACAAACAAAAGTAATTTTTCGGTGAGTTGCCGAGAGAGGGTGAAAGTTGCTGCGCGATGGGGTTTAAATGTTCTTCTCCCAACCCGGAAACGTTATGACCGTTCGAGTGGGATCAAGACAAAAATGAACAAACCCGGCGGTAGCTAACCTCAACTGGCTGGATAAGGAACCGAATCACGTCAAGATGGACGGATAAACCGATTATCATGCTAAGATGTGAATGTTCAAATGAATCACAGCATGAGTGGGTTTGGTCAAGGTTCTCTATCTTTCAGTGAGTAAATTACATTCAGGCCGAGATTCACTCAGATAATACTGCTTTCTTTGAACCTAATCCAAGTGCCTACCTGCCTCTGGCATTGAAATGCACTTGACAAAATGCGTAACAATGGTGTGAAACTTTAGTGAAAGAACTAGAATTATTTCACCCGAAGAGCAAAACCAAATTTGAAATAATTCACTAGCATACAGAAATTGCATTTTGCTCTCAGTGATTCCTGGAATGAATGTGGCATTCTATTCGGATGCGACTGGGATCATCCTTCTTTTACGGCTTCTCCCTTTGTTACTGAGCTTCGACACGTATGTTCTTATTCTGTCTGCATCAGTTATCATCGGATGTTTACACAGTCTGAGTACATCTGTACGTTCCTAATAATGCAGTGACTGAGACAGGTGTTGATAAGAATAACTAAAGGTTATCCTTAATTCTACATCGGACGCTGGCTTTGTACCGGGAGCTTCATAGGGCATAAAATTAAAGTAGGTACAGTAATTGATCAGCGATTGCCTCACCATGGATCAGCGGATTTCTGCAATTTGAGGTAGATGTGGCTCCAAGGAAGAGTTTACGAAGAATCATGGGCTCAGTTTGCCTTTGTAGAATAAGAGCAATCATATTTTGATCACTGAGCTCAGATTTATCACAGAGATACTGCATTTGTCTCCACGACTCAGGCCGGTTGCAGTGTAGAATGCGGTTGGTTGGATTCACTTCAATTTTCAACAGTTTCACGTGAAGTTGAAAATGCATACGCCGCATAACCACCGCCAGCTCAAAGTGCAAATACGTTAAAGCATCCGCCGAGTGTGTGTATGAGTGTGAATAGCAATTAGCGATTGATAATATTTCTTGATTTAATTCAGCTGTGTCCCACATTAAAGGTCCCCACATAAACCCTCGTTGTTTCACTGTATTCACCCTCATCCCTGGTCGATCCGATTTGTAATTAGCTACATCACGCTACTTTCTTTTACTTTTCAATGTGTGTTATTGTTTAATGGACATCTCAAAGAGTAATCAACGTTTTACATGTTGTTTTTCAACCAATACCGATTAGCCGTTACTCGTTGCATGCATTTACCGGACCTTGTTGTTGCTCCCTAGTCTTTCCAATATTTCTTGTTCGCAGACAAAAAGCCCACCGGTCACATGTTGCAAACAGTTTGGAACTGTCTCTGTTCTATCTCATCCTGTTCATCGTTTTGTTGTACTCAGCCCCAATTTACTGTTTCAGTGCATCTATCTCATATGCATCATTGTTTATTTTGCTGCATATTGCAGTTGGCGCCGCAGCATCGCACCAAATCCACCTTTTTGTTCTTTTCTCGGCTTGCATTGATCATACGCGTATCATTCTGAACTTGATCGGTATGTATGGTCTAACTAAAGAGAATATCAGAGTACGTCACATGCATGGTCTCGTAGATTGGTTGACTGATTGAAGGCGTGCGTCCGCGCGTTTCCATTACACATAGCAGCTAGAAGTATTATCAAAGGTGAGGGATTCCTAGTTAAATGTATTTCATTATATTCTCGCATCACTGTAATTGCTGTTGCTTTTCTATGCCCGGCGCAGGATTTCTTTTTATTGTAGTGATGAGTGGATTGATTACTCAGAGGAGAACATGACTTGTCTGTGACCGGTTATTAAGTAAGCATCAGCAACAGACACTTTACAACTTTAACAGATAAACATGAATTTGGGCATAGCTTCACGATTACTGTTCATGCAAAAACGACCAAACAGACCAAACAAGCTAATTCAAAATTTTATTTCTGTCTTCTTCCAGGGAAAAACAGTTCCAAATAGTCTGGGATTGATCCACCGTGGACGTAAATTGTTGTTTACTTGGGTTTTACCGTTTTCATTCAGATGGCAGTTTGTTTCCCACAATTTTTCAGATCATATCACCTTAGCTATGTGTTATGAAAACAGGCCCAGTAACAGTGTTGATGATAAGCTCCATGTACAAAATCAAACCGTGCAATACTCTACCGACTTGAATACATATGCGTATACAGCATCCCAGATGACCAGTAAGTTCATCCAGTAAGGCATCTTCAATAAAACAAGAACTGTGTTTATACTGTACCTACGGTTTACCTGGGGATGCATGCCCGAAGATCGTCGAAGGTGTTCTGCATACAGCTGTGTGAAACAAAGTGAGGTGACTGTGTGCGTTTTTTAAGGCATACGTGCTATTTTGTTCAATTTTCCTATGTAAAAACGTTTATTTTCGTGTCCGCTAGTCATGGATAGGTACAAAGTGTATTTCTTCCCAGGTTTATGCTTTCACAGAAGCGTGATTATGCGTGCAACAGAATGCCACTGTTTCAGGCTCAATCCCGTGGGTACCGTCGCTGCTGTTTGGGGAGGTTCAGTTGAGGCACAGCGTAAAACCTCGTTATTGACTGATTGAAAACGTCAGTCCAAGGGGTTCCGGTAAGATATTATGTTTGTATGTGTGTGTGGCTTCCATGTGCAGATGGACGACAGCCCAACTATGGTTTGTGCTCCAATATCATTTCTTCCCAGTCATTTAAAGCTGGTCCAAAACATGAGCTGCTTCTCGACTGTTTTTATATTTACATCTCTAGGTGATGAATGGGAATCCAATGGAAACCGTAAAGCATAACAATACCAGAAACAATGTATGAATAATTTTGAGTATGAGATAACAGGACGCATTGTGTCGAACGATGCTTCAATACACAGTTAACTGTCTACTAACATCAATCGAAAACTTTCAATATAATCAGGTTTTATCTGCTGGATTATCGATAGATTTTTTCACGGCGATCTGACTGATTGTGTCAAACTTTTAAGCGCACAT